TGTGACCTCTTGTGTGTGGTCCTAGGTGTGACCTCATGAGCATGGTCCTAGGTTTGACCTCATGTACATGGTCCTAGGTGTGACCTCATGAGCATGGTCCTAGGTGTGACCTCATATACATGGTCCTAGGTGTGACCTCATGTGTATGGTCCTAGGTGTGACCTCATGTGTGTGGTCCTAGGTGTGACCTCATATACATGGTCCTAGGTGTGACCTCATGAGCATGGTCCTAGGTGTGACCTCAGGTGTGTGGTCCTAGGTGTGACCTCTTGTGCGTGGTCCTAGGTGTGACCTCATGAGCATGGTCCTAGGTGTGACCTCATGTGTGTGGTCCTAGGTGTGACCTCATGTGTGTGGTCCTAGGTGTGACCTCTTGTGCATATGGTCCTAGGTGTGACCTCATGAGCATGGTCCTAGGTGTTCTCAGGACAGGAAGTGAGTGGTTGAAATATTACAATTTTGTGCAGAGTGCCAAACTGTAGAATGGAGCTTCCAAGCCAGCACACCCTTCCACCACCCACCTAATTAGGCTGTCATTGCCCAACCGGCCTCTGTGGTCCTCTTTGGGACAGGCCTACTCACCAGCCACTTCCTTTATGGTTAAGCCACTTAAGTGATGGTTCTGTTTCTCTCCTCCGGGCTGCTTTAAATTTATCCTGAGTAGATCTCTCTCTCTCTCTCTCTCTCTCTCTCTCTCTCTCTCTCTCTCTCTCTCTCTCTCCCTCCTCTCTTCCCCATTATGCCAAGACACCCAGAGGCTGTGTAGCTTGAAAGGCTCCCTCCACCCCGCCCCGCACCTCACAGGGAGCCTTTGCTGCTCATGGTTTCCATACAGAATCTACTTATGAATTTGCTAGACAATTGAGACATGCTTTACTTTTGTACTTTAGTCTTTCTTTTCTTAAGAAAGTCTGCCACAGTATATTGCAGGATATCTTTAAACTTTTATTTGTGAGAGGAGAGGAGAAGAAATGGAGAAGTGGAGAGGGAGAGAGAGGAGAACCAAACATCAACCCTCTGTAGGAGCAACAAATGCCCCTAACCACTGAATCACGCCTCTAGCTCCTAAGCTACTTTCAAAATATTTTACTGGAAAGATGTGCCATGGTTTTTCTCGATCAATTTCCCATTCATAGATGTCCAGGAACATCCACACATGGTTGTTTTGTCTATACACTCAAGGGGACGTGCAGAAAATGGCGTTGCTGGGCCAGAGAACTGGAGGGTCACTGTGGTTCTTGGTTGAAGCAACCCAAGGTTAGGGTCTTCCCCAGAGTGCCTTCCCGAAGAATGAAGAATGAAGTAGAGTCTAGAGGAAAGGGTAGGAAAGCTCTCAGTAAAGCTAGGACAGGAAGCAATGCCTTGGAGGGTCGGGTGAGCACCAGAGAGAAGGAAGAACCAGGTGCCTCAAGCTTTAATTCGCTGAGGCTTCCACTGCGAGGCATGTGTAAACTGCAGGAAGATGCCAACCTGGGACCTGTGCATTGCACATCACCTGCTTGTGTCAAGCAAGGAAGAAATTGCTAACCGCATGCTTTTTCCTATTTACCTTCTTACAGTCCACCAAAGGCTATTGTGTGAAGCCCCAACCTCAGGGCGATGTTTGAGATGGGGCTGGAGGGAGTGGCTCCTGGCATGGGCTCCCATCATTCACCTGGAGCTTCATGGTCTGCTGGAGACAGGAGCTGCTCTTCACACGCATTTTCAGCTGAGCACGGATGGCGCTTTGAGGAAGAATGCTCGCTATTTGTCGAGCTGCCTCTGCTGCCTCTGCTCCTAGTTCCCTCGCTCCCTGCATAGGCTCACACTTCAGTAGTTGGTTGATATGAAGTTGGCCTCTATAAGGGTTTATGGAGTTTCCTCTTAGCAGTGTATAAATAAATCCCCGCAGTCCCAACAATAAAATGTATTTGCGTTCAAAGTTTCAGGCTTGTCATTCTGATTGAAGATTTTCATTCATTATTTACTTAAAATTTTTAAAAAAATTATGTGTGTGTGCAATGGGAGAGGTATGTGCACCATGTGTGCAATGGGAGAGATATGTACGCTGTGTGTGCAATGAGAGAGGTATGTACGCCGTGTGTACAATGGGAGAGGTATGTACACCGTGTGTACAATGGGAGAGGTATGTACACCGTGTGTGCAATGGGAGAGGTATGTATGCCGTGTGTACAATGGGAGAGGTATGTACACCGTGTGTGCAATGAGAGAGGTATGTACACCGTGTATACAATGGGAGAGGTATGTCATGTGTGCAATGGGAGAGGCACGCCGTGTGTGCAATGGAAGAGGTACGCTGTGTGACACCGTGTGTGCTGGTGACTTTAGGTCAGAAGAGGGCTTCAGATCCTTGGAACTGCAGTCACAGGCAGTTGTGAGCTGCCCAAGGTGCTGGGAACTGATCTCAGGTCCTCTGAAAGAACAGTACATATTCTTTTTTTTTTTAAAAAAAGATTTATTTATTTATTATGTATGCGGTGTTCTGCCTGCATGCGTGCCCGCACCCCAGAAGAGAGCACCAGACCTCAGTACAGACGGTTGTGAGACACCGTGCAGTTGCTGGGAGATGAATTCAGGACCTCTGACCTCTGGAAGAGCAGTTGTGGTGACGAGGTGAGCAGGCCTGCTTTTTGTCCCGCCCGGCTCCTGCACGGCAATTACATGGAAACTATTCATTTAAACACTGCCTGGCCCATTAGTTCCAGCCTCTTATTGGCTAATTCTCATATCTTGCTTTAACCCATATTTAGTAATCTATGTAGCATACCTGTGTCCATCTCGGGTCAGAGAATCATGGTGTCTGCCTGATTTTGTTCTGTCTACTCTACCCACCTAAGGGCTGGCCTATCAAAAGGCCAAGGCAGTTTCTTTATTTGGCCAATGTAAGTAACACATAGACAGAAGGATCCTCCTATATCAAACAGTCAGTGCTCTTAACCACTGAGCCATCTCTCTAAGCCCCAGTAGTACGTATTCTTAACTGCCAAGCCACTTCCTAGCCCTTTAACTTATATTGTTTATGCCATAACTGAGGCTGTACATATTCTCAAATGTTTTGGAAAGAAATCTGAATTTTTTACATAAATAACCTGTTCCTGTCATTTGCCAGTTTCTGTACTGTTGTTCACCTTTCCCTATTATCTACTAGAGAGACCCTCTTTATATCAAGAGTTAAGAGACAACAGCAGTCCCTCCCATTTGATGTTTATTTAGTCTATAAAAATACTCTCCTTTGGCCTGGAGAGAGTCTAGATGTTAATAACACTAGCTGCCCTTCCAGAGGACTCAAGCTAGCGTCCCAGCACCCTCTTTGAGGGCTCACAACCACCTAACTCCACGGGAGTCTGGTGCCCTCTTCTGGTCTCTGCAGGTACTGCATGCACAGGTATACTCCCCCACCCACCCTGGCCCAAGCACATAAACAAACAAAAACCCAAAAAACAAAAAACTAAAAACAAAACAAACACAACTTTCCTAAGAATGCTTTGAATATATTTTTTATTTTCCCAGTATTAAAATCACCCGTTTTTGATAACCTGGATATTCCTCTAGAGACTTAGAGAGATCTCTCCCTCCCTTTCTTTCTTTCTTTCTTTTTAGCACTTTAATAGTATTATCGCCCTCTTTTTTTTAATCAATTTTGAGTTTTCTAATTGGGTTCATATTTTTTTCACCTAGCCTGCTGCCGAGACATTCCAGCACATCTCTGGATATAGTCCTTTCCCCTCCAGACACTTATCATTTCTGAGGACATTAATTTGTCCCTCAAATCCCATGTTTTCTCCATTACCGCAAATTGACATCGGCTATATGTATCAGATTTATATTAGATTTCCACCTCTTAGTATCGAAGAAGAACAGGCTAGGGTTATGGAAGGAAAGGGGTGTGTGGAGAGGAAGGACATGGCAATCGTGGGGTGGGGGGGGGGCGTGAAAGCAAACCCTATTATATGGATGGAAATGTCACGGTGAAACCACTTGCTTTGTACAGTTAACATACCCTGAACATACCCTGAAATATTTAAAGTAATAAAAACATTGATTTTCTGTTTTGAGAGAGGATCTCATCTACCACAGGGAGTTGTTAGGTAGCAGAGGATAACGTTGAGCTCCTCCTCTGTCTTAGCACCCTCAAGAGCTGGATAATCCCACTTACATCACGCCAGAAGCCTACCTACCTCCAGGGACGACTCTGCTCCTTCTCCCATGTGCCCCCTGTTGATCTACTTATGTTCCAGAATTGTGCCTCAAACCAGCAAGCAGCTGTTGGTGTCTGGTGGGACAGTGTGGTGGAACCCCCACTTCTCCCCCTTTCTGGAGTTGTCTGGATTTTTCAATGTGAAATTTTGAATCAGATAACAGTTCAAAAACATATACTAGTTCTTTATTGGAATTTCATTATTTTCAAATGTTGGTGGAGAGAAGGTGACCCCTCCCCAGCATGCGATTCAGTGACCTTGGCCCTTGACTTGCCTCTCCCTCTGTTCTAGTCCTGTTTACAGATGGAAGGCCTCGAGGCAATAGGGAATTCCTGGATCCTAGGCTGGTTCAGCTTCTCGCTACTGCGGTAACCATAGGAACCTTCCTGGTTTCCCCTCATCTCCCTCTGAACCAAGGTCCGCTCTTACCAACCTCATGTGGCCTTGGGATGGAACTCGAGCGAGAAAGGGACCAGTTACCAACACCCAGGAAAGGGGGTTTGGAGGCGAGGAGGGAGCAGAGAATACCCAGAAGTGAAAGTCGGCAACTGTGGATAAAGATAGAATGAAAGAGGCCAGTGTGGAGGGCTGAGGGTTGTGGGGAGATCTGAGGGCAGGCAGAGGAAGAGAAACTACAAGGACTGGCCACGGCAAGGCAATGAGGAGGAGGAGAAAAAGAGGGACCTCCTGATGGGAGCCTGCCCAGGTGCAGCAGGCAGAGGACCATGGTGGGGAGGGACAGCGGAGGGTGAGGCAGATTTCTCTGCTTTATCTGACTCACCGCAGACTATAGCCCAGTGGAGCGCAATGGCCTCAGTTTCAATTTTGACTGGGATAGATGGCGTGCATCTAGAAATGCCGGGAGTACCCGTGTTCTTTGTCAGCGCCCGCCCTCTCAGACCGTGGACATTCCAAGCTCCCCTCACATCTCAAAGCCGTTGCTGATGTCCCGATTTTTTTTTTTTTTATTAGAACCTGGGTCAAGATGGGAGACCGAGGGAAAATCAAGAGTGGAAACATCTTGTAGACCAGCTGAGGAGCAGGGCTGGGGTGTATCCCGAAATGTCTCCCTCTCCGTGAGAGGCCTGAGTTACCTAACACAGAGTAAACAGCAGGAGGCCAGTCCTACAGGGACCATAGCTTAGTGCACCTGCTTCTGGCCTGGCGACCCCGCGTGCAGATTGTCCTAGCTGCTTAGGTAATGTAGCCCGAGATGGGTACCAGGAAGCCGTGTCCAGGACTTTGGTCAGGCAGCAAAGCCCAGCTAGTCTGCGGATTCTGAGATGCTGCGAAGATTTCTGCACCTTTTTGGGGTTCTGCTCTCTCTCCCAGGCTTCTTCCTGCAGCAGGTTCTTCTCAAGTCCCAGGAGAAGACTTGTCTCTACTGCAGAGCACTTTGGTTTCAACTTGACCTTTGTGTCTTAGCTCTGTGCCAGGGGAAGAAAGTGACCTTTCCCTCTGTGGAGCATATAGAATAGTGTAGTATACAGAATATACAGCTATTCACCCACCTTCCTTCCTGGAAAGGCTGGAGGGACACAGCAAAGTTCAGGAAAATTCTGATATTTGGGGTAAAAGCACTGAGGCAGGAAAGGGGAGGTGTTGCCAGAGGAGCTGAGGTGGTCTCGCCCTGGGGTCCTGCGTTAGGCCCTGGGGATGGCGGAGTAGAAGGCACTGGCCTGGCAGCCTCGGCTCAGGCAGGAGGTGGGTCCTTGGATGCCTTTGCAGTCAGGCAAGTGGGGACCACATGCTGCTTGCCGAGCAGCTGGTGAGTTGCACCCCCTAATTAGGGAGGGCAAGTCCTGTTTGAAGCCTCAAATCGAGGCTCAGGTTCTAATCAGCATTCAAATTCCTGCACATCTGGCAAAATAAAAACAGCTGTGAAGACAGCTGATGGGAAGAGCCAGGAGCGGCTGTCCTTGCCGGCCAGAATCCAGCTGATACTGAACCCTTCCCATGGATTTCCTGTGTCCCCTTTCCCTTTAGATGTTTCAAGGACTAGGAAGCCTGTAAGCATGTGCTCTGACCTCCTAAAGACACCCTCCAGACCCCCAAGAACCTCCTGGTACTGTTCTCGGTCGGTCATTTTTGATGGGCTCGGTGGCAGGAACCTTCCCACAGACTCCAGCCGCAGGATGACGGGAGGTCTAGCTTCAAGCCCTTAGTCTGTATGCGAGTCACAAACAAAACCAGAGAACACAACTCACTGCCCCAGAACACTGGTTTCCAACTACTGATGGGTTTGGCCTCTGTCCTCCGTGCTTTATGGGTCAGCAGAGAAGTGTCCACTTACGTAGGATGTAATTTGAAGAGCTCCAATATGCCCAGCTTTCCTTTAGCCTGAAATAGAAATCTCCTCGGGGGAAATGTGTTAGGATCATGAGGGCTCCTATCAAAACAAACAGCTGACTAGACAGGGCAACCCATTTTATACAGTTCATCACTGGTGCCTAAGGCACAGGACAAAGTTCCAAAGTCTCTTCCGGTTTCATTGAGGCTGAACCTGGTGGACAGGCGGTGCCCTGCGCTTGACTGTGGGGAGTTTGTGAATGCTGAAACCGGGGGCAGGGGTGTCTTCCAG